GAGGTGGGTGTTGCGAGCCGCGTCAACAAGGCCCCGGCACCCGTGGTGCGCGAGCGCGTCGGCCAGCACATGATCCAGCTGATCGAGGACGAGGGCGGCATGATCAAGCTCGTGAACCCGCTCAATATGTTCAACGAGCACGCCGAGATGGATGCGATCGACTCGCTCATTGCGCCGCCGCCGCCGTCCGACTTGATTCCGCTTCTGGAAGAGAACCTCTCGGGGGATACGTTGGCGACGCTCGGTTCGCGGCCATCGGACCTCGCGTTCCGCCCGACGTTTATTAGTGTCACGAGCGACACGGAGTTTTAAGTTAAATTGCAGAGTATATTGGCCGTCCTTTCTCGCGGCAAAGGCGTAAACCCACCTAAAAACGTCACATCCGTGGCGCGAGAAGGCGTGGATTGTGGCGACAGCGCGCGGTCGTTGACAAGGAAGCTGCGATGCACACAGAATGCATGCATTCCGTGACGGACCCCTGCACCGAGGCACCGTTCATTTTTTGGCTGCTACCGTAAACAACTTGGTGGCGAGTAGGGTCTACGTCGCAAGGAGGTTAGGGGGAGAAGGGAGGTTGTGTGTTGACGACAGGATGAACAAAGATGCCGGAGGAATCACCCGCGTCCGTCGCGGTGGCGTCGGATCTTAAAGTCAACCACATTCCCATTAATGTGGCAGCAATATCACCGGACCGTTCACAGCCATGCTCCCAAGGAATCATCCATCACCGTCGTTGTTATCATCGTCGTCTTTAGCACCATCGATCCTCATTCAAACCACGTATTCCGACATGTGGCCTCGAATTCGATCCCGTGCCTTCTTGTGGTCATGGGCGATCCGAATTGCATATCTCTCCGTGCATATCCAGGTTGTACGAGCATGCAACGCTGGCTTGATCGCATCTAACAGAATCAGCTTTGGCCCGTTGATCGGAATGCAGACAGAAAGCTGATTGCTCGGGGTGACGGTTTAGAGGTAGAAACTTCTGATTGTCAGCGCAGATATGAAGAAGCGTCGCGAGAGGTTCACGTGTGCAATACTGGCAGCCGAAAACCACAACTCGAGCAGACTAATTGAGGTTGCTTGAATGTGCAAAGATTTCTGCGTTTTGATTGGCTAAAATGACTTCAAGATCACGGACGTGGAGCCAATCGTGTGGCGGCGGTACTTCAAGGTTATCCGCCGGTGGAATTCCCATTTTGCCTCCATCCGCCAAGACAACACGTAGCATGAGCATGGTCGTCGAGTGCTCGGTCCTGACCTTTGGCTGCAACGATGACGGGCAGCTCGGCCGCGGCGAGAAGAAGAAGCCGAGTGGCACGAGCATCGACGGCGTCTCGAGCGCCAACCAGCCGCAGCAGGTCGGCGCGCTCCGGGGCCTCGACATCACGGCCATCTCGTGCGGCTCGCGCCACTCGCTCGCGCTCGCATCGACGGGCGACGTCTTCTCATGGGGCTGGGGCCAGATGGGCCAGCTCGGCCACGGCAACCACAAGAGCCTCAACCTCCCGACGCCCATCGTGTACTTTGACGCCGCCAACATCAAGATCGCGTACGTCTCGGCCGGCGGGTGCCACTCGGGCGCGGTCTCAACCGACGGTACGACGCGAACGACCATACGTCTCGGCCTTATGTAGCGATCTAGGACGGGTCTTTATGTGGGGCGAAGCGCACTGGGGCCAGCTCGGCCTCTCGCCCGACTACACGGATGTGCACCAGGCGATGCCGGCCGAGTGCAAGGTGCTGCCACCCAACACGGACGAAAAGATCGTCGCCATTAGCTGCGGTACCTCGATGCGCTCTCACGATGGTACCATGACCACGAGTGCTTGCCGTAGGTGGTACCCACACGGCCGCGCTGTCAAGTACGACTTCAACCGCGTCGGTCATGGCCCTCATGTACAACACTTCCGTAGACCACGGCTACGTGTACACGTGGGGTCGTCGCGACAATGGCCAGCTCGGGCTTGGCCGCGACTGGGTGCACATGGAGCCCGAAGCCGCCGACGGCACGTGCGGCACGAGCATTCCGACGCGCATCGATCCCGCGCAGTACACGTCTTTTCTCTCTTTTCTTTTCTCACATTGGATAGATTTGACAACGAGCGCGTGATCCAAGTGTCGTGCGGTGCGTTCCATACAGCGGCCGTGACCGAATCGGGCCATGTCTACACGTACACGTCCCCTTGGACTCCATGTATATATATATGTATATTGATACGACGCCCATAGGTGGGGCAAGGAAGACTACGGGATGCTCGGCGTCGGCCACACGCCGGACATCCACGTGCCCCGTCGCGTGCCTTTCTTTGAGTCGGTGCCGGCTGCGTACGTCGTTTCTGCCGATATGTACTACATGCTGCCGACCTCACGCGACATGCAGGAATGTGTCGTGCGGCGGCTGGCACACGGTCGTCGTCGGCCGCAACGGCAGCGCCTATGTCTTTGGCCGCGGTGAGTTTGGCCGCCTTGGTCTCGGCGACACGCGCGGCCACTCGCACCCGCGCAAGGTAAACACATCGATCCTCGCACAGAAGGCAGCATTGATGGCAATGTCGCTAGGTCGAAGCGCTTGCCGAGCACACGATTGTGCAGGCGGCTGCTGGTAGAGGCGTACGATGATGAGAGTGGGGTCATGGACGTTGGCGGACCGTAGGGGGGTCCCACACGCTCTTCTTGACGGACAAGGGTGAGGCGCTTAGCTGCGGACGCACCGAGTACGAGACGACGCGATCGCTACCCTCGTGCTCACGGATGATGTCTTGTAGCCATGGTCGCCTCGGCAACGCCGACCTCAAGCACTGCGCGACGCCCGAGCGCATCCAGGAAACGACCATGGGCAAGATTCCCGTCGTCCAAGTGTCGGTGGGCGGCGCGCACTCGGCGTGCCTCCTCCACAGCTCGCACGTCGGGCATGCGTAAAGGTATTGGTGCAGTCCATACGAGCCAACATGTACCAATCGCTTCAGATGTCTTGTGTTCTTGCTTCCCACTCTCCACGCGACGCAGGAGGAGGCCTGTATGTGCGAGCTAACACGATTGACGAGAGCGACGACCGCCACGTGCAAAATCCTGATCGGATCTGCCTCTCGGATCTGCATTGACCTCGCAACTTGAACCAGCGTCCGCACCCTGTACCACATGCCCACGTATCGCAGACGTCGTAGCCAGCGTGCGGTCCTCTGCATCCATGCAACGTCGACATGCGCCTCGCCGACGGCAATGCGATGTCGCCGCTCGCTTCCATGTGCAGGACAAACCCTGCCTACTTGCCCATCGCACGCCCATGTACATGCCCTTCGCCGAGGGTATCCTGCGTGTACCTGCATCCACCGGCCGCCATGTCCATGCGGCGTCGCCAGAGAATCGTTCGGCCACCGAAAATAAACTGGGCCTCTGCCGTACGAGTATAAAATACCTGGTCCATGGATGGTACCAAATACAATGCAAATCCCACGTTTACATACAAACCTCACATTCGATTTGATTTTGCCGAAAAAAAGGCAAGGTGCACCAAAATTAAAAAAAGAGCCTTCGGAATGTTGATCGCCATTTTCCCAGACGACGCCGCCCGCATGAGCCGCTACGTCCTGAGTCCGCGCGCCGCTGCCGCCGGGGGCAGCGTCGGCGCGTCCATGCTGCGCTACACGGCCGTACCTCGGGAGCACGAAGACGACCATGCGACGCCCATCGAGGCCACGGTGCTCGTCTCGGACGCGCGGGCGACGTCGCCACGCCTGCGTAGACGGTCCTCGGCCGACGACACCCATGCGACCGTCTCGTCGCCGCGCGCCGCACCGGCGCCCGTCGAGCCATCGCATCATGACGCGCCTGCGCTGGACCCGCTCGAAGACGTTGGCGGCAACCTCCGTATCCGCATTCTCGACCTCAACGGCAAAGTGTTTGATATTCACGCCAGCGCCGAGTGGCCCGTGGGCCAGCTCAAGGCGGTTGTGCGCAACAAGAGCGGTGTCGACGAGAGCCGCCAGCGCCTTATTTACCGCGGACGTGTCCTGGACGACGAAGGCACGCTGAGCGAGTACAAGCTCGAGGACGGGCACACGGTGCACCTTTTCGTGCGGCAGGTAGCGACGCCGCCCGAGCCCGAGGCGGCGTCGCAAGCATCCGCGAGCAGCGTGCCGCCGCCGACGTTCAGCTTTGACGACCACCACCACCAGATCCACTTTGGCGCGAACGAAACGATCACGTCGGCGGTGTTTCCGTCCGAGTCGGCGCGCCGCCTCGACCCGCTCATGCTCGACTCACCGCTCGGGATCGCTGCGCGCCGCGTCAAGCTCTGGGCGTCGTTCATCCTCATCATCAACACGATGAAGCTCCTCGGCGAGTTTGCGTTCCTCGCCAACATGCGCGCCATGCACGCGCAGCGCAACGTCGATGCGAACATTGAGAAAATGTACAAGTACAGTCCGCTCTACGACGGCAACTCGTATGTGACGGCCGCCAAGCTCTTTTCGTATGCGTGGGGCGTCTACGTCGGCTGCGTCGGCTTCAAGGCCGCGCACGACACGGACCTCCGGCCGATCCGAACGTACTGCTCGGGCATTGCGATCCTCGCCGTCTTCTCGGTGGCCGAGCAAGCGTACGAGATTTTCCACTTTTCCCAGTGGGACCCTGTCGAGTACGAGCAAGTGAAGGCCAAGACGCAGATGTACGCGCAGCAAAAGCCATCGCTGGACGAGCTCATTCGGTCGTCGATCATCCAAACCTTCCTCCTCGCGATCATGTGGTGCTGGGCCGTGCGCCACGCCGTCTTGCACAAGGAAGAGGTCGGGCATCATAATGCGATTCTGGCGGCCGCGGCCATGAGCGCGGTGCCGCTGCCGCCGCTCGAATCGATCGCTGCCGGCAACATTGAAGACCGCCCGGCCATGGTCCGCTCGTCGGCGGTGCCCCGCGAGCCGCCAGCACAAAACGATAATGAGGATGCTGGCGCACCGCCGCCGCGGCCTGTCCACGACATGGTATAGCACTCAATACGTCTACAGCACAAGGTTACTATGCGATATACTATTACAACCGCTGTTCCTGCGCACACAACACTACTGTGCCAGCAAGCGGAGAGGTTTGAAAACGACGCAACACTCGATGCGGTGGCAGTTGGGGTGGGCGAGGAGGTCCGAGAACTGTACAGTGGTGGGTGAGTAGACTTGAGAGCTGCGAGAAGCCACGCGAGACGCTTGTCCTCGTCGACGCGAGTTCTTGAAGCCAACGCCGAGCTTGCAGTGAGCGGCAGGTTCGCTGGCGGCACCGCAGGCTGCCACGTCATGGCCCCAATGTTGCACACTGCGCTGGCTTCTTCTGCCTCGTGCTTCTCTGCAGCGCTCTCTTGCATGTCGTCCATTGCATCAATCGCTGCATCGTCGTGATCACCCTCGACCCGAGCCACGACCGCTGTCGTTGGCCAGGTCGTCATGGATGCTTTCGATGGGCTTGCGAAGCTGGTGCGACGGTCGAGGCCGTTGCAGGACGAACTGCCGCAACCACCCGCGCGAGGCTTTGAACTCGTGCATATCGAGGGCGTCCTTGGCTCTGCCTTGGAGGAGCTTGGTGGTGATGCGGCCGTCGTGCGCGCGCCTCCAGCCAACGAGTGCGTCGTCGATGGCTCTTGCCGGGAACACGGCCGTTAAGGTTCGCCGCGTGAGCGTTGTTGTGTAGTTGCCGCACGTCTTCTGGTGCTACATCTCGGCCCGAAGAGCGTCGCTCCGCTGCACAATCTTGCTCTCGGTTTGGCGTCATGGACACTTGAGATGACATGATCTCGATCTGTTCTTCGAGTGATTCTGCGCGTGCTCCACATCGTCTGGCTCGCCCGCAACAACCGCGTCTTCCGTCCGAGGCGCCCGAAGGAGCCGCCACTCGCGCCGCGCTCTTGACCAAGCTGCACCTTCAACATGTGCTGCTGAATACCCAAGCGCTGTGTCTCTTCCAAATGGTGAACGCCCTGCGCCGCGACGCCTGGCTCCTGCCGTCAGTCACAACACGCTCAGAGTTGAAAGTCCACCTTCCAAAACAGTTCCGTGTAAATTAAATAGACTCCCAAGGCGCCGTGCATCGTTGGATAGCCTACAGCAGGGATGCCGTTAACGTCAACCTTGACGCTAACGCTGGTCACCTCCGGTCGGTGCTGCGCCAATCTCTCAGCGAGCCCGAGCCTCAGCGTACCCTGTGAATGGTGGATGATTGTCAACGACACTAATAGCAGCACGAAGCGCCTCGAGGCGTGTGGTCACACTGTCGGTTGCGACGAACCACGAAATCGCGCCTCTGTGCACGCATCCATTGGCACTTCAACGTACACTATTTACAGTCGTTTCATATACTGTCGGGCCGTATCTTGGGCCAAGAATAGAGTGGCAACAGACGTGGGAAAGGAAAACGCTCGAGCGACGGGATGCAGCCGCGGACGAGCGCCCGCGGGGCCGGCGAAGGAACCATCATGAAGCGCCGCATGCGCGAGGACTCGCTTGCGATGTACTCGAACGTCGTCAAGGGCTTCGCGCACCTCAACTCGCGCGCCGACTGGGAGACCAAGGCGCACGAGCAGAACGGCCAGCGCCAGACGCAGCGCGTCTTGGGCATCTTGCAGAACCAAGACGAGTCGGCGCTGCAGTCGCGCCGCCTCAAGCTCGCGGCCTTGTACAATGCGGAGCTCGAGCAGTGGAAGGCCATGTGTCTGGCCAACGTCGAGACGCCGGAGGAACGCAAGGCCAAGATGATTGCGCGGGCGACCGAGCTCAAGGCCAAGCGCGAGGCGGCGCGCGTAGCGTATGTCGAGGAGAAGCGACTGCAGCAGTACCGCGAAGGCTGCGACGACATTCGTACCGTTGACAGCGCGACCGTCATGGCCGAGGTCGTCGCCGAGCGCGAGCGGCAGCTTGCGGCGCTGGCCGAACGTCAAAAGGAAGAGGCCGCGTACGAAGCGCAGATGGCCGCGCTGTGGGCCGAGGACATTGCCAAGAAGGACGCGCGGGAGCGTCGCGACCGCGACCGCATCCTTGAGGGCAACGCCGCCGTCAAGGCGATCCTCGACGTGCAGGTACGGCGATAACGATGGATTCGCATCCCAGCACAAATCGGCACTGCTATAGGTGGACCTATACAAGACACGCGTCGCCGACGAGAGCCGCGTCAAAGAGCAGGAAGACGACGAGCTCTTGCGCGAGTGGGCGCGCCACGCGCAGGTTGAAGCCGAGCTCGAGGCCGGCCGTCATCGGGACGCTCTCGAGCGAGCACGGGACGTCAAGGCGTTTAACAAGCGGCGGTCCGAGATGAGTCGGCGGGAGCTCGACCGCGAGCGTGAGTACGACGCGCAGCTGCTCCACCTCGCGTTGCGGACCGAGGCCGAGACCGAGCAGCGGGAGAAGGACCAGCAAGAGCGCTTCAAGCAAGACCAACTGGCCTACCAAGCCATGCTGCGCCGGCAAATGGAAGCGGAGAAAGACGATCTCTCGCACCTCGATGCGATCCGCAAGCAGATGGAGGACGAGGTGTGGCGCAAGCGCGACGAAGAGCACGCGACCGAGCAAGCGGCGCGGGACGAGCTCCTTGCGCATGTGCTAGCGTCCCGCAGCGACCAGATGGCGCGCAAGGCCGCGGCGAAGCGGCAGTCGGCGGCCGACGACGCGGCGTTCATGGTTACCGTGACGCGCGAAGCCGACGAAGCGCTGCAGAAGGAGCTCGACGAGCAAGAGGTGCGCCGGCGTGACGCGAAGCGCAACCAAGCCGAGCTCGCGACGCAAAAGCTTCAGAAGCGCGTTCAGAACGAGAGCGCCAAGCAGCGCGAGTTCCTCGACATGAAGCGCATGGCGCTGGCCGAGAAGACGCACCAAAAGAAGATGGAGGCGCTCGCGCAGGTCGACCGGCACGCCAACTACCGGCGAAAGACCGCCGAGTGGTACTTTGACACGTAAGATCACAAAGTAGAAGGACTCTAGAGCATGCGGGTAGGTATACATCAATCAATACGAGAACACATTGACCATACTATCCCATTCCTCGGTTGGATACATATATCCAACATCGGATAGTTCGATCCAACGCCTCGGTCGGATCGTACGATCCAACGACGCCAACGCGGCGGTCCAAGCCACTGTTTGAAACGCTGTTTCCTACTACAGTGCAGTGCAGGACGAGAAAAGGCGTTGGAGCGCTGGGTGATGCACGGTGGTGCGCGGTAGTAGAGTGCATGGGCCTGCGACGAAGCGCAGTACAGAGCCAGCAGCGATTACGTACGAGCGGTTGCGTCGTGATCGACCGGTTGTGGTTGCAGTGCTTGTACATGAGCAAATGATGCCATCGTTTGGAAACCAGGTGGAGCGAGTCGAGTCTGGCCACCCTCGTGTGCGCATCCCAAGCATGTACTAACATAGTAGCAGCTATAGTAGTCTACCAGCAGCAGCAACGACCTCTACTCGAAAGCATCGAGTCGAGTCGTTCGAGATCGAGGCAGCCGTTGGGTTACCCAGAGACCGTGAACTATATCAAGCGTAGTATCGATCGCACTGGTCCCCATCCATCCATTGCATGCTTGACTGCTTCCACGCACTCGATCCTTCCAAGTGCTCACGATGTCACCTCTGTCGAAAGATAAAGATGGCGTCGACTAGGATCTCACAGTAGAGTACAGTTGTCGCACACAGATACGAGCGTTGTCAGACTCCACAACCAGAACCAGCGGCGGCAATCTGGATTCAATGTGCGAAGAGCCGATTGCACTCGCGCAGGACGTCAGCGACGCTCACGCGGCCTTTCTTGCGAATGTAGCGAGCGACGTGGTCCATGTCGGTGTCGTCGACAGCGATGAACTTGCCGCGGTCGTCGAAGAACCCGGAGACGCGACCGGCGTCCAGGAGCGACTGCAGACGCTGCATCGTCGTCGTCGTCGAGAGCTGAAAGCGCAGTGCGAGGTCTTCGATGAGCACGACCTTGTGCGTCTACCAAGTCGTGAGCCTTTCTGAAAAAGTCATCCATCCAAACCGCCAAGTAGGCGAGAAACTCGGAGAGCAGATGCGTCGACTCGGACAGTTCTACGCCGTCGGACCCAGCGTCTTCGACGGAGAAGTGGCCCTTCCACTTGGCAAACTCAGTCGCGTCGCGTGCGGCCTGCGCGTTGGCCGCCTCGGCGGCAGCCATGGCCTACGCAAGGTCCAGCAAGACAGGAGGCGAGTGCACGTGTCTACCTCGGCCTCTTCGCGGGTAGCTTCATCGAGCATTTTCCTGCGGTAGGCCTAGCATGGTGCAAGATGGCGCTGTGCGCCTCGACCACGAGAAGGAAGAGTACGTTGGCTTGTGCGTCGTTAAGCTTGCGCGCTTCCTCGCGTCGGTATTCGTCAAACTACAAGAGAACGCATGGCCATAAGGACGATCGAGCGTTGCTTGGTACCTTGCGTTGTTGCTCGCGCTCTTGTCGCTTTTGCTCCTTTCTGATCTCGCGTCGGGTCGTCGGAGGCGGCCTGCACACAACAAGCGTAGCATCACCGATGGCACCGACGTTGCGATTACCGCTGGCGATCGCCTTGCTCGTCTTCCGCCTCCTCGTCCGACGAACCACCCTCGTCGTCATTGCGCGCCTGTCGCCGCCGCTGGCGCAGGCCATCGAGGCCTAGCTGCTGCTGCTGTCGTCGGTGCTGTCGCCCTTGGCCGGCGTCGTTGTCCTACGCGGGTTTGTGCATAAGACACGCGCACCATTACGGCAGCTCCGTACCATTATCTTCTCCGCATGGCCAAAGTACCCGACCATGTAGAGGATCCAGGCCATGGTCGCGGCAAGGCCGATGGCGGCGACCGCGAGCAACCCGGCGTCCGTCGTCTGCATCGTGCGAATCCTGTAACAACGCATACATTGTGCGAACCTCTATCTATCTATATCCTGTAAGAATACATATATACTATACCGTTTCAAATACAGTGTACAACGCCGGACGCGAGATTTCGACGCGCCGTGTCTCTCTCGAGCGGGAAAGCTGGTCGCGCCAACTGGCGGCGCGGTCCTCTACCGGGTAATACATCAATAGCAATATACTTTCTGCCCACCGCACGTGACGGGCCATCATCAATAGAAAGACTCCTTCGTTTCTTCTCCCGTGCGCCTCACCGGTAGGATAGGCTCGTCGCGAGGTGTCGTTGCCGCTAGCTTGATTCTGGACAAGTCGTCGTTACGCACGCCAGGTCTCAAGGCACGAGCACCGTCAGTCGGGATGAGTGCTGTATAGGGATGAGGTACACCCGCAAATGGACTCAGCTTGGATGACGACCTACACGCACGGCATGCTAGGTGCGATACCCATTCTGGCGACCGGATAACGTTGAGACCGTCAAGCGAGCAGCGCAAACTGCAGGAGGGAACGCATCAAGGTTTTTTCCATCTCTCGCAATGACAGAGCTAGGATGTATGCACGGACGGCGCTGTCAGGACGGTTGTTGGCGCCGTGTTGAAGCAAGCTCATGTTGCCGGTCGTTGCCGGTCGAAAGAACGTTCTGAGGCAGGGTCCATCCCATCTGTTTTGTAGAGGGGGGCACACACACCCACAAGTCACCTGGTGATATAGCCGCTGTTACAGACGGCCTTCTACGATGCGCTTGGGGCCATTGATGTCGCGATGTCGATCGCGCAAAGGCAGCGCGACAAGCAGCATCCCACGTTGGTCAGGCGATACTCGTGCTGCCGCTGTCGATAGTCCATATTGCCGCCTCAAAACCGAGTTTTTTTCCATCAAAACGGTGGGAACGGTCTCCGTGGGTTCAGTACACGTGTAAACGAGGTGCCGAACGCACGCAGTTGCCAAGTAGCTTGTTCTCGCGGCGTCGTATTGAGATGAGTTGACGCGAAGAAGCGCGCCCGCAGAGATGACGACGCTGGCCCGTCGTCGTCGAGTGTAATCGGTAGGGCCCCGTACGCGCCGTCGTGGCTGGTACCTAAAAATACAAAACCAACGCGATGGCGGGCTGGTATAAAAAGGAATATTATTATGGCGCGAGTCGACACCTCGGGGTTGAAAATTAAAACGCGACGCGCCTTTTCCTCACACATTTGCCTACAAAATGCGCGCGCTTTTAAAAAATAGAAAAAAGAATCGGACGTCCACCAAACAATATAAAAACAAAAAGACAGCGAAAAAGGTGATGATTCCGCCGCAATAAAATACCGGATCAGACGACCTCCGTTGGTCCAAAGATAGGGGCCAATCCCAGGGGGTGAGTAACCTTGGGATTAAAATAGGGTCTTTTACACGTGAACAATACGTGTAAAATATGTGTTTGCACTTGGGTTGCCTACAAACCTCAAGTGGAGCACGTGAAAAAGGTATTTCCCACAGGATTAATAAAATGCGAGGGGGCCAGAAAGGACGCTGCCGCGGAGCCAATCATGTGCAACCTCTGCCATTTGGCAAAGTCAACCCTCTGTAGAGGCTGCCACCTGGTGGCCGTCGGCGAGCCCTCTGCCTGGAAAATTGAATTGGTCCCGTGAAGTGATGAACGGCTACTCAGGGGTCCTGGACTACACAGGCGTCTTGAGCAATGGCCAAGGCTCCGGCGCCGGCGTCTCGTCCGGCGGCGGCTCGCGCGGCATGGCGCCGTCGAGCAGCTCGGCCGACCTGTTGCATCCCGAGACGCGCCGCCGCTCCAACTCGATCGGCGCTCGGAGCTCGTCCAACACGTCCGTCTCGTCGCAGTCGACGTCGTCTTTCTCCATGTTCCCGATGGTCGAGAAGATGTACCGCGTGCGCATCACCGAAGACATTGAGCGCGATCTGCGGTACCTGGGGCAGAGCCGCGCCGATGCGCTCATCTCCGAGTTTGACATGGTGCCGCTCAAGGACACGAAGGGCATTCAGATGTACGAGCTCGCCGAGCAGGAATTTTACACGATGAAGGCGGTCGTTATGATCCCAAAGTCGTCGATCCACGACGTGATGAACTTGATGGACATGCCGACCACCGCCAACTTTCGCGACACGATGGGCGACATCTTTGGCCCGCTCTTCCTCGACGGCGTCGTGCTCTACTCGGCCCCGAAGGACGTGACGCGTCCGAACGAGTCGCTCTCGGTGAACTGGATGGCGCTGCAGTCGTCCAAGCCGCACTTGCCGCACCGCGACTACGTCTTTCTCAAGTACGGCGACTGCTTTAGCCGGTCGAGCGACCAGTACCGCCAGAGCATGGACGACGGCATGGGCAACAACTACGTCGGCGCGTCGATCTGGGAGTCGATCGAGTTTGACGGCTGCGGGCCGCTGCCCGAGTCCCAGAACGTCGTGCGGCTCAAGTTTCGCCGGTGCGGCTTTGTGTTTGAAGAGTCGCAGGCGACCGACCAGCTCCGCGTGTCGTTCTTCCTCTCCGAGTCGCACCCGGGCCGCGGCATGGTCTCGAACCTCACGAAAGCGTGGATGACCAAGATGCTCATGTGCATCGCCGACATTTCGGGCACGCTCATCACCAAGCACCTCAGCGAGCAAACGCTTCTCAACAAGAACGAGTTCTCCAAGGACGGCCACTGCTGCTTCATCTGCCTCACCAAATTCACGCTCCTGCGGCGAAAGCACCATTGCCGTATCTGCGGCGACGTCGTGTGCGGCAAGTGCTCCAACATGAAGACCGTGCGTCAAAACGGCCAGAACAAAGAGGTCCGTATCTGCCTCCAGTGCACGTCGGCGTCGACGAACTCGATGTCGCGCGGCTCGACGGGCTCGGGCCTCCAGCGCCAAGCGTCCAAGCCGTCGATGCTCTCGTCGTCCGTGTCGTGCTCGAGCGTCGCGTCGTCCGAGTCAGCATACTCGTACCATGAAGACGAAGTCTCGGCCGACTTTAACACCAAGCAAGCCAAGCAGCCGATCATCATGGAAGAGCGCGAGACGCCGACCCACTACTATGCGTCGCAGGCGTCGTACTCGTCGCAGTCGTCGTCGACCGCCGGTGCCAACGACATGATTTTGCTCTCGTCCATCGACACCTCGGCGTCGACGGTGGCCTCGGCCATCTCGTCGGGCACCTCGAGCGACATGGTCATGCTCACCAAGGACAAGCCCGCGAGCATCCGGGAAAACACGACGTTCTCGTATGCACTCTCGTACACGTCCCGACAGGAGTGGCCAAAGGCTCCGATGCCGCGCAACGAGGTCCCGCGGCTCGCCAAGGTCCGGTCGCTCCACCTCACGGACCCGGAGAACCAGTTCCAGGACATGGTCGACGTGGCGGCAACGACTCTGTCGTGCTCGATCGCGGCGATTTGCGTCATTGGTGACAAGACGGGCTACCTCCTCGCGCGCCTGGGGCTCGCCAAGCGCGAGGTCTCGCGCAACATCCTCTTTGACGCGCACACGATCATGAGCGCGTCACCGACGGTCGTCCTGGACGCCAAGCAAGACGTGCGGTTCGTCAACAACCCGCTCGTGACGGACGGCAACATCCTCTTTTACGCCGGCGTGCCGCTGGTGACCGCCGACGGCCACTACGTCGGGTCGTTCTCGGTCGCGGACCAAGTGCCGCGACAGGAGCTCACGGGCGACCAGCTCATCTTTCTTCAAAACTTGGCCGACCTCGCGATCCGCGGCATTGAGGCCAACACGGCGCGCATGATGCGACCGGAGGCGAGTGGCTCGACGCTGGCGGTCCAGCCCGAGCCGTCGTACGTGCCGCCGCCGCCCGAGATGGACGCGGTCAAGGCGGCGCTCACGATGCAGGAGCTGCTCAAGACGGCGTACGACACGCAGTGCCAAGTGCGCATGCAGGTCGGCGGCGTGCACAAGGCGGTCGAGTAGACGATAGCATGACGAAAAGGATCGGAAGACGGCGATATGGCCTTCTACCCCACGACGCACGCAGTCGTAGTTCTACCTCGCCTCTCCCCACCTCGTACTTATTGGCGTAAATTAAGTGTGCATAAATTGACTCGAATTCGCACCAGCACGACAGCGACCCCTGCATTGGAGATGGGCTTGGACGTTGTTAGGACGCTTGGCATGACATTGAGCACGATGGGCTACTGGCTCGCGTCTTTGCACGCAAGGTCTTGAACTTCCGGCAGCTTACGGTTCAAAGAGCAAGCGTACGAAGACGACGAGACCGTTCGTAGCGTCAAGGGACCATCCGAAGCTTCTACTTACCACTCGGTAGAGTACACGCGAGCGTCGACATGACATCGGTCCAAGTGTGCGGGCAAGGAGCCGTCAACGCTGCAGTGACTTACGCGCATCGCGTGGCGTGTGTCTGCACCTTGCGATGCAAGTGCGTCGGTGGTGGTTGACTTTGCACTTTGAGATTGCACTTGGTTCCTCTTCCTCTTGGACAGTACTGTACAATGAGATGCCCAAATACATGTATTAACGCTCGGCAGCGCGCATGAGTAGTGGCGAGCCGTCGCTGCTGTCGTCGTGGGTAGTGTATCGAAGGTCTTACTTTTCGTCGTGGTTGGTGTCGATGCCAGCAAAGAAGTTGTCGAGGCCTTCCTCAAAGTCGTCGTACACCACGTTCTTCTCGTTCTGAAGCTTGACGCCGCTGTCGAGGAGCGTGAGCAAGTGCGACTTTTGTTTCCACTGCATCAGCGTCTCCTCGAGCTCCATGTTGGCCTTGCTAATGAGCATGTCGATCACGCGCGGGTCCTTGATCTCGGCGTTCTTGCGGAAGAAGGCCTGGACCGCCAGGCGCGCTTCCCGCGGCTCCATGTTGATGTCATAGAGCGTCAGGACGCGCGGGACCTGCTTGGTGATGTGACGGTAGAGCGTCACGGCAGGGTTCGTGCCCACGAGCTTGCTCCCGTCAACCGCAGAGCCATGGCCAGCCAGACAAAATAAGTACTGAGGGTGTGGTGACTGTATTGCCTCGTCGTTTTAAAATCCAATCGTGCCAAGAAAAATATTGCATATTCCGTTCACGTAATAAGATTCCATCAGGATTATTAATATACCAAACTTTTTATTACTCTATTTCAGCATTCCTATATAGTATGACAATCGACGACCGCTCTGAAACGTATTGTTTTAAATACCGTCTCTTCACAATTGAAACACGGCAGTAAAAATAAAAGGGCCCGCCAATAACACCATATTTTGTAAGTATAATAGTGTATGCGCCAAAGATCGGTGCTGATCATGTGCGGTTGCCTTCAAAGGCTTCTGTTCTTTTATTCGTTCTTTTATTCACCCAGTGCGAACCCCGTGGCGTCCGGCGACGCGACCACAACATATGCAGCTGCCGCGATGCATTGTATCACCGCTATTTTAATGCCATCCATCGCCCTACTTTGCGGTGTCTGGGCCGCGGCCAGCCTACGCCGGTGGGTGCGTTCACATTTCTTAAAAGAGCTTTTTTGGAATAAAAGACGTATTAAAAGAAAGTGCAACTCCAAACTGCAAGATCGTCACTGTCGTCAGTTGTCAATCCGAGAGCAATGAGCTTGCTCGAGCGCCTCTCCGAGGAGGTCCGCGCTATCAAGGCCGCGGGCACGTACAAGACGGAGCGCGTCATTTCGTCTGCGCAGGGCGCCACCATCACGGTCAACGGACGTGAAGTGCTCAACTTTTGCGCCAACAACTACCTCGGGCTCAGCAACGACCCCGCGGTCGTGGCCGCGGCGAAAGCGGCGCTCGACTCGCATGGCTTTGGCTTGAGCTCCGTGCGCTTCATCTGCGGCACGCAGGACATCCACAAGCAGCTCGAAGCAGCGATCGCTGCCTTCCACGGCACCGACGACGCGATCCTCTTCCCGTCGTGCTTTGATGCGAACGCCGGCCTTTTCGAGGCCATTTTAGGCCCCGAGGATGCTGTCATCTCGGACGAGCTCAACCACGCGAGCATCATTGATGGCATCCGCCTCTGCAAAGCGCAGCGCTTTCGCTTCAAGCACATGGACCTCGCCGACCTCGAGGCGCAGCTTCTTGCGACGCAGCACTGCCGCACGCGTCTCATCGCGACCGACGGCGCCTTCTCCATGGACGGCGACGTTGCGCCCCTTCAAGGCATCTGCGACCTCGCCGACAAGTACTTCGGATCTTTTGGATGCGCGTCGAGATCTGGACGGCGGTTGTCTAGGTACAAGGCGCACGTGTTCATCGACGAGTGCCACGCAACGGGCTTCTTTGGGGCGACGGGCCGCGGCAGTGATGAGTACTGCGGCGTGCGCGGCCGCATCGACGTACGTCGCGATGGATTTTTGTATCAACTTGATAGTATGTGCGAGATGGTAGATTATCAACTCGACGTTGGGCAAGGCGCTCGGCGGCGGCACGGGCGGCTACACGACGGGCCGCCAAGCCGTCATTGACCTCCTCCGGCAGCGCGCGCGGCCGTACCTCTTCTCCAACTCGGTCGCGCCGGCTGTGGTGGGCGCGTCGCTCAAGGTCTTTGAGATGCTCACGCAGTCCAGCGCGTTTGTCGACAAGATCCGCGCCAACACGCACCGCTTCCGGGACCGCATGGCCGCTGCCGGCTTTACCCTCACGGGGGCTCGGTACCCGCATTCTTGCATGTTTGCAACACCAACACATGTGTAGCGACCACCCGATCGTGGCCGTGATGCTCGGAGACGCCCGCGTCGCCGCCGACTTGGCCGAGCGCATGCTCGACCAAGGCATTTACGTCATCGGCTTTAGCTTCCCGGTGCGTCATCATCCGTCGCTCTCTTTTGTGTGATACGTCATCGTTGTAGGTCGTTCCCAAAGGCAAGGCGCGCATCCGCGTCCAGCTTTCGGCCGCCCACTCGCTCGACGACGTCGACAAGTGCGTTGACGCGTTCATTGCTGCAGCCCAGAACGCCAAGCTCTAACAAGGTCACCGCCTAGAACGTGCAACAAAGTTGAGAGAGCATTGCGCCTTTGACTCGTGCCCCAACGACCAGCACGACGTTGGATGCATTCGCCACCACGTGCGGCTGTCAGCGTCCTCTGCTAGTTTCCAATTCGTCGGCAGCTACATCCTGCGGGCAGGCACGTCGTCGGTCGGTGCTTCTGCATCTCGACCTCGCAAGAAAATGTGGTGCATCTGGAACATACATGCATGGATATCTGTACGACTTGATGGCCAGAAACAAGACCTAGAGCTTGGCTGTGAGGACCGAGCCCTTGGTGCGCGCAGGATGCAGCGGACGGTCGGCGTGGAACGCATCGATCGAGGTGAGTGCAGAGGATGCTGTCGCGTCACGTGTCATGCTCGACGGCCAGACCTGCGTCCAGAGCGCCTTGCGCGTCGCCGTGGTGACGAGCCGTGCGTCCAACATCTCTTCCACTTGCGCTTTGGAGAGCGCGTCAACAGCGGCCGCGACGTCACGCCGGCGGTCAAACGCATACGTCTGCGACGCAATCTCTTCCCAGACGCGCGCACTCGCTTCTTCGTACGTCTTTGGCTGCTCGAGGAGGTTGCCGACGAGCGCCGCCTTGTGCTTTCTCCACTCGTCGTCGTGCATGGCCGCCAAGCGATCGCGGAAACCCGACAAGAAGGCTTGGATGCGCCCGGTCACCTCGGCGGGCGTCTTGGCTTTCGACTGCACCGTCACGTACACGTACGCGACGCCATAGCTGCACCCTGCGCTGCTCGACACGATGTAGCCCAGCTGCTCGGTCGTGCGCAGCGTCGTAAAGCATGGCACCTTGAGCACCTGCGCCAAGAGAGCCGAGGTCGCGCGTGCTTCGGTCGAGTCGCTTCCGCACTCGAACGCGACGTGCGTCGCTCCGTTCTCGTTGGCGCCGTTGAGACACGGCAGCTGGAGCACATGGTCGCCGGTGAGTGCAAAGTTGCGTGTGTCCGGCACGTCTTGCACAAACCCGCCCGCCGCCATCGAACTTGGGTGGACCGTCTGTACGAGGCGGTGAACGTCTTCCTACACGCCACTTCTTTCATGCCCAACCAAATGGAACGAGACAAAAGTACTAATACCTCGAGCAGATTGCCGTACATAAGCGTCTCGACATGCGGCGCGGTGAAGAGGTCGACGGCATGGGCGGCGAGGACGCGCGGAAGATCGTCGTCCGGCACCGCTTGCAGCACATTGAGTTTCGTCTCGACCGACCACTTCGTGCCCGTGAGCGCCAATTGGCGTTGGTACACGGCCCAGCGGTGCGGCTCTTCCAAAAGCGTGTTGGCCAAGTCCCGTTCGAGGGCGTCGCGGAGGCGGCGGAGACTCTCGCGTTCCATGGGGGCAAAGCGATGGGCCCACACCGCGTCGAGGACCTTCTGGAGGCTTTCGCTGTAGCCCGCGATGTGCAGCGTCACGCCCGCGATCGTGTTGGACACGTGGACTTTGATGCCGGCGACGTGCGCGTCATAGAGCGACGTGGCGAGAACGTCGTCGAGCCAGAGCGTGTAGAGCTCGGTGAGCACGGCGGCGAGTGGCGTCGCATACGCTGTGCGCGTGTACCACTTGAAGCGCGCGCTGGCTTTGGGCTGATCAAAGCCCGTGCCCTGCTTGTGCCACAGACGCATGGTCGGGGCATCCACGAGGAGGTTCACCGCCGCTGTCTCGGGCACCAAATGGAGCTGCGACGGCAAGAACGGGTTGGGCCGCGGCAGCTGCAGCGATTCGGGCAGGGAGGAAGCGGTCGCCGACTGCCACTGCGCGATCCACGCCGGGTCCAACGGCGCGTCGCTGTAGCGCGCGCCAAGCCACGGCTCGGTCGCTTCCGGCGCGCAGCTCTGGCTCACGAGCAGTAGGCGCAGTCGGTGCGGCGTGAGCAGTTGCAGAATGCGTCGGAAGCCAGTCGCATCAAACTGGTCGAGGACGTACGGCCCCGAGACAGCCCGCTCGGCCGGGAAGAGCTGGAGGTTGCGCGTGAGGTACGAGACGTACGAAATCGGGGGCTCTTGGTTGCGGTAGCGCAGCTGCAGCATGCTCAGCGTCTGCGCCTCGTCAAAGATGCGCTGCAGCACGTCGTCGCCAGCTTGGGCAATGCGCGCGATGTACTGGAAACTGGTTTGCACCACATCTGGGATCGCGTCCAGTCCCCGAGGCGTGAGCAGGATCTTGATGCTAAACTGCGACCAGTCAGCATAGTCCCGCGTGAGACCGGTCGAGACGCCGTTCGCGAGCCCACGGGCCTTGAGGTCCGCGCAGAGCGACCCGACGCCTTCGTGCCCGAGCAGGTGCGAGAGCACCCGCTGCGGCTTGTCGAGGAAGTGGGCTTGCAGCGACGGCAGTGGAAACGTGAGCTCGAGCGTCCGCAAGTCGCGCACAGGGACGACCGAGATGAGCCGACCTTGCTGCGCTGCTTCGTACGGCTGCACATTCTCGGCTACGCAAGATCATGTCATGAGCACCTCTGCCGCGCTGATGACGCGAGCGATACGTGGCGCATGCGGGCGTGCATCGGCGTTTTGGATGGGCGAGAAGAGCGACGTGGTCCAGCTTTCGAGCGTGTCGAGGTCGTCCCGACCATAGACTACGAGGTTCATCGCGTTCGCAGAGTAATACCGCGCGTGGAACGCAAGCAGCTCTACGTCGCTCAATGTGATCGTCCATATTGCATCGTAACGTCGACGTACCCGCGCGGACATCGATGCCGAGTGCAGTCGGTTGCGTGGATAGCGTCTCCAAGTTGCCCGTGCCAAACTTGTGGAACGGGTGGGCTGGGTTCGCGAGCTCTTTCGAGAGCTGGTAGAGCCGGCGGGCGTCGTCCTGGACGTTCTTGGCGTGCTCTGCGTCGACGGCGTGCATCTCGCGGTTGGTGGCACTTGACGAGAAGAGCGGCGCAATGAAGAACTGCGCAAACCGATCCAGCGCGCCGTGCAAGTGCGGCGGCGCCACATCAAAGTAAAACGTGGTGGCAATCGCCGACGTCGACGCGTTCGAGCGACCACCATGCGCGCTCAGATATGTCTTGTAGCTCGTCTCGTCCGGGTACTTGGCCGTGCCGAGGAAGAGCATGTGCTCGAGAAAGTGCGCCAGGCCCGCGACGTGTGGCGGATCCGCCTGGTGGCCGACACCCACGGCCAGCGCCGCCGCCGCCTTCTCGGTCGCCGCGTCCGAGACGAGGAGCACACGCAGCTTATTCGGCAGCTGGAACGACCGGTACAGGCGACTGTCGTTGCGCGAGACCTCGAGGCCGCCGACCCACTTGCTGCCCTTGCCCCACACGTCGCTCATCCGGCCCATGCGTTGTTGTTGTTGCTCGGATATTGGAATTCGTGGCGTCGCAAATAGTGTATGTAAATAAATACTGTTTGGTACAGAGACAGTGTTCTACACAGTGTTCTACACAGTGTTTCAACCAATGTCTGGCGACACGAGTTTGCACCGATGCCTGACATGTTACCACCAAGATCTAATGTATATAGTAGAAGACTGAGCATCGAATATGCCACTTGCACAAGGACCGGGATGTCAAATGCAATGACGTCGTCCTTGATAACGCAGCTCACATGGGACCTGGCTTTTCTCTGTGCACGCGGAGAATCTTGCTGCTGCCGCGCCGACCGTGTTGCGGCCCGCGTCGCACCTTATTAGCGCTAGTAGACCAAAGTCGTCAACGCAAACAGAATGGGGTGAGGCACTAGACTGCGAATGCTTCCTGGACGAGTCGATCCCATCTCAGAGGCGACGCGACGTCGGGCGTGAGCAGCCGAATAAACGCGTAATAATATCTGGTGGCCTACTACATGTACGAGCTTCTTAGAGCGATCTGTCGATCGACGATGTGGTAAATGATCGATGACGTTGGTCACGCTATGGCGAAGCTTCCTTGATGCCACTTGATTTCCCCGGCACAACCTGCATGTTCTGACACTGGCGATCGTCCTAGCCACTGCGGTCCATGCACTGGTCTTGGTCTGATACCATCTGGTGCCAGAACCCAGCTGGTTTCATGGGTCGCGATCATCACATTGCACATGTGCTTGGTCGCGCGCCATGACCCTCGTCGTCTAGCTCGTCGCCAGTACGATACATGCAATAGTGCTGCAAGTATGAACTGGTAGAGACATCAATTTCAACATCGCGAGATCGACTTGACGACCAAATACAAAAGCAGGCAGGAGAATCCAACCGCGCCGGTTGCAGGGAACCGAACGTGGTCGGCGGGTGCATCGCGACGTCGCAGCGCGTTCTGTACCTGTCGTAGGACCTGCCACATTTCACCGACCATACAAATCAGCTATCAATCGACGAGCGGACTCAGGGCCGAACGTGTGAGTCACGCGACTTGGAGGCCAGCGTGTCACTGAAGATTCTTGTTCGAACATCAGAGACATTGGCCACCTGCGATCACCCTCGATCAAACACATCTCGGCCCACAGCTCACTTTGCTTTTGCTCTACCACCACCATTAGCACCGCGCTCATGAAGTTTCTGACGACGCTCCTCGCGCTTGCCGCGCCGCTCATCTCGGGCCACGGCATCGTGTCCAACCCGCCGGCCGAGTTCCGGTCGGACGTCATGCGCACCAAGTACGTGGCGACGATCCAGGCCAACTTGCCCGGCAAGTTTGACGACTCGCCTCAAAACAACGTCGCCAACTTCAACAAGGCGTTCAAGGCCCAGTCCCAGTTCAAGACGCTCCGTGACATGCTGGACCCGCACGGCCCCGACTGCGGCTTCACGCTCACCAACGTCGCCAGAAAGGCCATTCCGGGCAACGGCCAGATGACGTGGAAGAACCCCGACACGGGCGAAGGCTTCATCCCGAGCCACAAGGGGCCGTGTGAGATCTGGATTGACAACGAGCGCGTGTTCCAGAACGACGACTGCGCGACCAGCTTTCCGCAGTCGCCCGAAGTGAACCTCCCGGTGGACTACTCCAAGTGCCGCGGCGACGGCTGCATGCTGCGCTTCTACTGGATTGCGTTGCACGAGCCCCAGTGGCAAGTCTACAGTACGTTCGCAATGGCGTTCTATTGGCACGGAGGCTAACTCTGCATTTGTATAGAAAACTGCGTGCCACTGAAAGGCAACGGGCAAGGCCCCGCACCTGGCCCCGCACCCGGTCCCGCACCCGGTCCCGCGCCGCTCCCGAACGGCGGCCAGTGCAGCAACGTCCAGGCCAACGTCGACTACTACGGCAACGACATCAAGAACCTTGGCGTGTGGGGCAGCAACCAGGACAAGGTCAGCGCGTGCTGCAACGCGTGCACCTCCACGGGCGGCTGCAAGGGCTTTACTGTCAACGGTGACACGTGCTGGCTCAAGAGCAAGCTCGAGAACCCGTCGCCGCGTGCCAACTGCTTCTCGGCGACGAATGCTGGCTCGGGCCCGTCGCCGCTCCCGAACGGCGGCCAGTGCAGCAACGTGCAGGCCAACGTCGACTACTACGGCAACGACATCAAGAACCTCTGGGTCTCGGGCAACGACCAGGACAAGGTCAGCGCTTGCTGCAACGCGTGCTCGTCGACCGGTGGCTGCAAGGGCTTCACCGTGAACGGCAACACGTGCTGGCTCAAGAGCAAGCTCGAGAACCCGTCGCCGCGAGCCAACTGCTTCTCGGCGACAGGCAGCGGGTCATCGAACGGCGGCTCGTCGGCGCAGTGCGGCAGCGTCGCTTCCAACGTCGACTACTATGGCAACGATATCCGCAGCTTCCAGGTCAACGGTGACGCCAACTCGCAGCTTTCGCAGTGCTGCAACGGGTGCTCGTCGACCGGTGGCTGCGTCGGTTTTTCGATCAACGGCGGCACGTGCTGGCTCAAGAGCAAGCTCGAAAACTATCGCACCTCGAACGGCGTCATCTCGGGCCGCATCCAAACGAACCGCTTGCGCCGCGTCTAAGACAAGTAGATAGTCAAGTTACCTATATGTCTTATCAAATATTCTTTACCCTATTCTTCAACGTTGGCATGCTTGTCGCGCGAACAAACCGGTTCAAAGACTGCGAGTTGGATAGTGCGTGATTTGAGCGTCGGTCAGCAAATGTACGCACCCGTTGACGCGCGTGCCGTCGTCGTGAGGACATTGGAGAAAATCTGACGAGTGACGTGTTGCTTGAGTCCAGCAGATATCGTATCGGTTTACGTGGGTTACGAGACTCGTACATCTACATGCCGCGGAGACGGCGGTTGCCGCCATACTCGGCCGCGGGGCGGCACTGGAAGAAGTACTCGTTGATTTCGCCGCATTGGTACCCCTCGACGCACTTGGTCGCGCCGATAAAGTCCTTGCCGCCGCACTGCCCAAATGCAGGCACTTGGCCCTCAGCAGCCTCGCTGTCGGGGCGGCACTGGTAGTAGAACGGGTTAAACTTGACGCAGTGGCTGCCAGCTTCGCACGTCGTCGAGCCCTTGT